CTTAGCTTTGCCTAATTTTGGAAAGTCTTTTTGTGTTCAAATGTAGGTATGTACTTTTTTAAGAAGGTCACCTTCTAACCAATTTTAGTGGGAAGACTGGCTTCTTCATTTGGAGTTTACTTATAATAGAGTAGTTTATTCCACTACTTTCATGACGCCTTTTAAGGTTTTTTATGGTTTTAATCCCTTACTCCCCTTTTTAAAATGATGTCATGTAAGTGGTGAAACTTGCTATGTGAGTGATGTTAGAAAAGAATGGCTCAATCCAAGAGTGGGGGTGAATTGGATTCTATGACACTTAAAAATTTTTCTGAGTTTTAGGATCTTTATTTCAATTCAAACTTTTCTAATTATGAATTTTCAAAGAAGTTTCTTAAAGACTTGTTAATGAAAAATGAATCCTATATGCTTTCTTGATTAATCATTAATGAGATTCAAAGTTAAGTACAATCAATATGTAATACTTTGATTCAGTTCAAATCAATATTGCACATGCAAACATGTTAATCAAGAATAATCTCTTTAACATACAACCAAGATATTACACAAAAGTAAAAGATAAGGGTAAGAGAAGATTGCACAAGTCTTTTATACTGGTTCAGCCACTCCACATGTGACCTACATCCAGTCCTCAATCATAACCTGATCAAGATTTGTTCCACTATCTTAATGAAGAAGTTTTACAAGCATACCACACATGCATACACTCCTACATTCAAGATAACCACTTTCTTGACCTCAAGAAAGCACCCCTTGTAGAAACCCACTACAAGAATTCCTTACCACTTGAGAAACCTACTCAAGATTTACAAATATTCACAAAGAATTAAGGAACGAATTCACCTGGAATTCAGAAGCAAATCTTAATCTTTCTCTTTTCAAGAATGTGATGATGATGATGATCTTTTCTCAAAGCATTTCAAAAACGTTTTTCTTCTTGGTTTCACAAAGAAAACTCTCCAAGAATGTCGCAAAGACTTCACAAACACGTTTTTTTCTATTTTTGATTCTCAATTCTATCTTGTTCTTAATGTTTCAAAATGAGCAAACTATTTATAAGTTTTTCAGAACCAGATAATCGATTATTTTAAAGAATAATCGATTATTTTGTTCTTCATGATTTCTGGAAATCAACCAAGAACAATTTAATAGATTATTTTGTAGGATAATCGATTATTCTATAGATTCTGGGATAATCGATTATTTCAAAAATAATTGATTATTGCAGCAAGGTATCCTTTTTACCTGTTGTTGGAATAATCGATTATATTAATGATAATCGATTATTTTGAGTTAGTTTTCAAAACTGTTTTAAGTCTCAAAATAACTTTTTAATCTTTCAAACTCATCATCATACTCACTCATAATCAGATTAGATAAAGATTAGCTCATGCACAAAGCATACACACAAAAAATAAGCTCAACAAAACAATTTATAAGTTACTCCTATTACATAACATAATAGCCACATTTTTCTTTGACTTTGTTTTTGACTTCTAAGTTGTTGATGTCCTTGGTCAGCTTTGTTCCACACTTTGTTATCATCAAAACCTTTAATCTCCAGAGGTGAGTTGATTCACCACTATGAATCTCAACAATCTCCCCCTTTTTGATGATGACAAACCATACAAGCCAAGCCATGTTGTTTTGCCACATTACACAACATTTCAAATCCTGCAAAAACAAACTCACAACACCTTTCTCCCCCTTTGGACATCATCAAAAACAAACCAATATATGTATGTCCAGAATACACAAGTATGAGCTTTATGCATACTCCTTATTTGCTCAGAATCAATGCCACAAAACTGATTTAAACATAACAAAGACATTGCTCCAGCCAATTAACTTTGTGATCATAAAATTTTCAAATTTATCAAGTGATCTTCAATCACAATATGTAATTCATTACCATAAGGATCATATGATCAACAACAAAAACATTCATTTGTCATCCAAAATCAAAATGTGCAGTACATTATCACAATTCAAAGTCCAGAATCATCATCAATTATGCCAAAAAATATCAAAGACCACATATCAATGTTCAAAAACAGAACAATGCACCACCAATCAACCAAACTAGAATTATCAAACCATTCAAACATAATATGTCAGCAATTAAACTTCACATTCCAACAGAAATCAAATTGTTCAACAAAATAAAGCAAGAAAATTGTTCGAAAATTAAAGCGATTACATCCCAATCGAGATTGAAATTTAAAAACCAGAAATTTAAACTTCCTAATTCAAACAACAAAAAAATAGAAGAACACTAAATCACTCCGAGTCCTCAAGCATCCCAAGCTGAGCCTTAATTCGGCCTATCTCATGATCAAGGTTATCAAACAGATCAAGAATACCCGAATAGATTGACTCGTGCCTCCTAGACATCTCCATGACCGCATCAAGCTTGTTAATCATTATCTACTCGAATAGAGAGAATGGTTTAGGCTCCGCTTCTTGCTCTCTGTCAGGTTCAACTTTGACCTGTGGTGGCTGGTCTTTATCATGAGATGGAATGCCATCCTCATCAGTTGTCGGTTCAGGGGTTGGAGGGATATCTCCTTTGAATACCCACTTATCTTCCTGTTTCAGCATCCCCATATGATGCAAGGAAGATTTTTCAATCTTATTAGAGGCATGGAGAATAATCTTTTTCTCCCCTTTCAGATATACCCCTGCTTTCTCAAAAATTTTAGATAACAATAAGGCATAAGGAATTGGACCATCCTCTTTCCTTCTGGCCTTCCACATACAGTCGTTCACCACAGATACCCAATCAATCTTAATTTTCTTTTTGATAACATGCATCAGCAAAGTGTCATCCCTTGACATTTGAGCATGATTGTCCAAACGAGGTTTAAGCATCCAGGCTATAATGAAAGAAATTAAACGGGAATTTTTCTTCATACCTCCCGCCAGAAATTTGGTGTAGTTGGTGTTCTTCGGATTCCTCTGACAGTCTCTGAAGGTTGTCAGCTCCTCAAAATCACCAAAGTTGAAGGGTTGGGGTTTGGTACCCCCATTGCCACTCAGCCCGACAGCTTCCTTCAAGGTTAGACCGTCAAGCTTTATCAGCTTGCCCTTCACAGCCGATTGCATTATCCCTTCATTGCTTGAGGCAAAGCAGAGAAATATCCTTATCAGCTCAGGGTAGTAAGGTCCTTCCAGTTCCAAAAGCTTCCCAAGTTCTTGGTGCTCTAATAGAGTAGGAAAGCTGAACCCTTCATTCTTGAACCAATCCAGCTTCAGGGTCTTAGGAGGGATGATTCTCCGACCCGCATACCACTCAAAATAATACTCCTGGGTTTTCTCATCCGCAAACCATTTAGAAATGAGTTGCTCTGAGGGCAAAGGACGCTTGCTCCCCCTCACTTCTAGCTTCTTTGGTCTTTTGGAGGAAGAAGCCATTGTTGGGTTTTGGTAGAGGTGAAGAAAATGAGAAAGATGAAGAGGTTAGGGTTTGAGAGTTGAGAGAATGTGAGTATTTAGAAAATGAGAAGGTTTGGAGGTTATGAAAGCCCTAGCACGTTTTAGGGTGGAGGAGAGGTTACTCAACTGAAGAATAATGGGAAGTTAAGGGTTTGGCACGAATAAAACCGTTCAAAAATCCTTCTGGAAAACCAAAGGTCACGCAAATAATCAATTATCCATACAAATAATCGATTATTTGAGTAATAATCTATTATTCCATATGGTCATTTTCCTCAACTTTGCCTAGATAATCGATTATTTCCAAAATAATTGATTATTCCAGAGACTCTTGGCATTCTACTTCCCAGATAATCGATTATTGCTCAAATAATCGATTATTCTAATACGCTTACTTACAATAATCGATTAAATTTTAAAATAATCGATTATTCCAGAGAATTTTTTCTTCTCTAAAATCTAACTTTTCAAACCATTCCAAATTTAATTCAACTCTTAAACACTCTCTTTTATGCACTATACATCAATGTTTCACACATTTATCAACCAATCAATCACACAATCAATCTCAAATCAAAATCAATTCAAACAAGATTCATTAACTATTCCGAGTTCAATTCTTAATTGATTAAATCTTTCCCTTGGTAGAGGTTTTGTAAATATGTCAGCTAATTGCTTACTTATTTCAACAAACTCTACAAAACAATCATTTCTTTGAACATGATCTCTTAAAAAGTGGTGTCTTATCTCTATGTGTTTTGTCCTAGTGTGCAAAATTGGATTTTTGGTCAGATTTATTGCACTTGTATTATCACACCTCAAAGGTATTTTATTCAGCTCAGTTCCATAATCTCTTAGTTGTTGTTTCAACCATAGAATTTGAGCATAACAACTCCCAGCAGCTATATATTCAGCCTCAGCTGTACCTAAAGCAACACAAGCTTGCTTTTTGCTATGCCATGAGACTAGTGCACTTCCTAGTAGGTGACAAGTACCAATGTGTTTTTTCTATCAAGTCTACACCCAGCATAGTTTAAATCTGAGTAGGCTATCATACTTAGTGAGACTCCCTTTGCATACCACAAACCTACATTAGTTGTACCTTTCAGATATTTAAGAATTCTCTTTACACATTTCATGTGAGATTCTTTTGGATTTGCCTGAAATCTTGCACACAAGCACACAATCAATTATTATGCCAAATTGTTTCAATTTTTGGTTCAAAACTTTGAATTGAAGTATGATCATGGACATGGACATGAACCGAAAGAGAATTTACAACGACCCAACCCACTAAAATAAAACAATGGGGACTTCTTATCTTAGAGGTTTGACAGTTCACATTCACTCCATTTTTTTCTCCTCATCCGTGATTGTATATATTGTGCTGTGCATTGACAATTTTCCATGTCAAATAGTACGATAACTAACTTAAATACATGTTCTTCTACACATTAATGGACACGAATTAATGAAACTTGTTTTAACATTTAGGGAGAATCTGATAAGAGTAAGAGTCTCTCCTTTAGAGTATAAGTTGTAAGTTGTTTTCATGCAATTGTCTATTTTTTTTTAAAAAAATCAAACGCAAGTTTTGAAAATTGATTTGTCGGTGTCGTGACTTTTATGTTTTTATTTGTAATGCCATTCAGACAGAACTATATCATATGTTACTTCATTTGACTTTAATAGAAGGAAATATTAATTATATGACACCAGGTTACTAATTAAGAAACATTATTTGATGAATTATTATATGTGTACAAGGTAATAATGCTATAATCCCTCATAATATTTTCTCACCGGTCTTCTTAATATTTTATAACATAAATAAATATACATATATATTACTAGTATAACATGAAAATATTTATTATTTTTTCATCCAACAAATAAGAAGATTTGTAGAAATTTTCTTTTTGGTTCATTATCAAGAATAACCTTTCGTCAAACACAAAAATTACTAATACACCAAGAAAATTAAAAGGACATCCATTAGTGTATCTCCTACGAAAAAAAAAAGTATTATTAATTACTTTAGGTACTTATCATTATTTCATCCTATATTTTTTATCTTTTAATTTTTACTAAATTATATATCACATCTGTCGTTTTATTTTATTTTATTTCTTTTTCTTATCTTTTCTTTTCTCTTCAGCCTAACCTATCCGAACTGGGGTAGACTTTATAATTTTTTTTTTCTTTCTTTACCATGTTTTAGTAAGATGTAGTATATGATATATAGTACCAGTAGTTAATAGTTGACACGATATAGTTTGAAAATCGAAAGAAGCAAAGATAGTGATAGTGACACTATACCATGATGATGGCTTTGATATTATCCTTGGTGAGTCTGATGGAGTTCTGCAAGTCTTCCAACTCATGATTATTAAGCTTGGCCTCCTCACTGTAAAAATTGAGCAACTCATCCACCATGTCACTTTCATCATCGGAGTTCCCGTTGCCACTCCTCTTCTTCTCCACGTGTTCATCAATGATCTTGTCTATGAAGCTATCCAAGGTGGCACGTGCCTCCACCAGCCTCTGGTTGAGGCCTTGCGGGTCCAGCCACCCGAGGAAGGGAACAAAGTCGGCAATATTGAAGGCTCCGAAGAGCTTCGAGAACTCCTGAAGAATCGAAATGAACTCGTCTTGCCCCTCTTGGGAGCTAGACCCGAACGCTGCGCGGTAGATGATGTTTTTAGTCAGGTTGAAAACGAGTTCCCCCACGTTCACGGCGCTCCCGAGGCTGCCCGCGACGGCGCGCACGACGGCGTCCACTTCGTCCCTGACGGAGTTCCACGACTCCGCTCGCTTCCGGCTGAAGAGCTTCATCAAGCCGATCTTCCGCATCTGCCGCC